CCCTGGAGTGCTATAATCTGGTGTGGTAATCTGGTGTTGTAATCCGGTGTTGTAATCTGGTGCTGTAATCTGGTGTTGTAATCTAGTGTTGTAATCTGGTGTTGTAATCTGGTGTTGCAATCCGGTGTTGTAATCCGGTGTTGTAATCCGGTGTTGTAATCCGGTGTTGTAATCCGGTGTTGTAATCTGGTGTTGTAATCCGGTGTTGTAATCCGGTGTTGTAATCTGGTGTTGTAATCCGGTGTTGTAATCCGGTGTTGTAATCCAGTGTTGTAATCCAGTATTGTAACCCTGGAGTGCTATAATCTGGTGTGGTAATCTGGTGTTGTAATCCGGTGTTGTAATCTGGTGCTGTAATCTGGTGTTGTAATCTAGTGTTGTAATCTGGTGTTGTAATCCGGTGTTGCAATCCGGTGTTGTTATCTGGTGTTGTAATCTGGTGTTGTAATCCGGTGTTGTAATCCGGTGTTGTAATCCAGTGTTGTAATCCAGTATTGTAACCCTGGAGTGCTATAATCTGGTGTGGTAATCTGGTGTTGTAATCCGGTGTTGTAATCTGGTGCTGTAATCTGGTGTTGTAATCTAGTGTTGTAATCTGGTGTTGTAATCCGGTGTTGCAATCCGGTGTTGTTATCCGGTGTTGTAATCCGGTGTTGTAATCCGGTGTTGTAATCCGGTGTTGTAATCTGGTGTTGTAATCCGGGGTTGTAATCCGGTGTTGTAATCTGGTTTAATAGTAAATTGAAAACTATAAATAATCAATTGAAATCTATTAATAGTCAATTAAAATCTATCAATAATCAATTGGAATCTATCAATAATCAATTGGAATCTATCAATAATCAATTGGAATCTATCAATAATCAATTGAATCTATCAATAATCAATTGGAATCTATCAATAATCAATTGGAATCTATCAATATCAATTGAAATCTATCAATAATCAATTGGAATCTATCAATAATCAATTGGAATCTATCAATAATCAATTGGAATCTATCAATAATCAATTGAAATCTATCAATAATAATGCAGAATAGAAATTTACCATATTTCAATCTTATTCTTACATTCTTACATTATGTTATGAAATGTTATGAGGTAACCAGACTTAGAGATGGACTGAAGAATATATATTTGATTTGCATAATGATTGAAGCTATTTGACCCAACAGTGGGACTTGAATAAATTAGACACACAACACCAAAAGTTATTCCTCAATTTTGTCACTCTTTATACAAATATACTTGTATATTTATAAAGTTTTCTATCCATGGACAAATATGAAGAAAACTTTTATTGCATTTTTATTTAAACTATTTCTTCTAGTGATAAATTATACCATTTATTTACATCAAAATGACCTGTCTTTTTGCGCTTCTGATGAAGAATTATTGCCAAGATGACAAACCCATCTGAATATGAATTGCAAACAAATTGATACGAGAGCGAGAAAATGACACTATCTCGCACCTCATCTACACTTGATATTATCATCACTACTGATATTTTTCAACATGGTGGTGGTGTGGAATTTTGAAATGAAACAGTTTAATGACAAGAATCTAAATTCCCACTGATATTTTGAGAGAATTATCAAACGTCAACAATAATTTGCAAGAAAATGCATGGGAGAAACAAATTACACCGATGAGAACATGAGGTCTGGCCAAACTGCGAAAAGTGTGTGCTTCTCACAC